CAATTATACGTGTCGGTTGTGGTCAACAGCAAAGGATGCATTATCTATGCTTCCAACTTTTTTCTTTTTTAATGTTAGGGTTTTGTGTTGATTTTGTTTTTTTTGGAGTTTTTCCTTCGAATGTAAATAGAATACTTTCCAAATCTCATATACTTTGCAAACCTGTCTCGGAATCTTCTGGAATAGACATACTCTCGTTCAACAAGCCTTTGTTTATCACCCCAGTATTACCTAATGCCGTTAAATACTTTTTTTTACATAGAACGAAAGTAGGTCTATTCTTTAATATTGCTACTAGATATAGAAATGAGTATATTATATCTAGCTATGACGAGGCCTTGATAACCATGTTATATCTGTATTATGGTGTCGATGTTCTCCCCATCCTTACATTCCTGATATTCATAGACAACCGTTCCAGGTTAAAAAGTAACTATTCTAATATACAAAGGGGAAAAAGTCTCCAGCAGGAAGAAAATCACTGCATAAATATTCTATCTGTGGTATTATCCCTAGTAGCTATCTCCTGGCTCCTCTTTCAGTGTGGCGACGTTGAATTAAACCCTGGGCCAACTCCAGACATAAACACGTCAACTTCTTCCTCCAATTCATCTGAAAGTCTTTCAAATCTGAGCAATTTATCTTTTGTTCACTTGAATGTCCAGAGCCTGAAACAGAAACTAAATACATTACATACAGAGTTAAGGGAATGCAGTATCCTTTCTTTCACGGAGACCTGGCTCAATGAGTCAGATGATAGTACGTCGTTGAACCTTTCCAGGTTTCATAACCCATTTTGCTTCTACCGAAATGATCGAAAAGGGGGCGGAATTTCAGTGTATGTTTAAGACAAATTAATAGTAAATAGACGAAACGATCTTGAAGTAGGGGAAGTTGAAAGTGTGCGGGTTGAAATAGTCTCAAAACATTCTAGGTTCTTATTTGGTACTTTTTATAGACCCCCAAACTAAAATGTTCAACTCTGGAATAGAATTGAATTATCGATAGATCGAGCCTTTAATACGAATATCCGCGATATAATTAAAACAGGAGATTTTAATGTAAATCTATTTCATAATCATCATCATCAAGTTCACCTATCTAATATATTAACTACATACAACCTTACGCAATTAGTGAACGAAAGCACACATTATACAGAAAATGGTTCTTCATTGTTGGACTCAATTCTAGTCAGTAATAATTCTATATTGAATCGTACATTTGTTGGAGAATCCTTCCTGGATCAACCAATGCGATATCATTGTCCTGTATATGGTATTTTTAATATTTTTAAGTTTTATCAAAGTCATTTACTCGTAAGGTCTGGCTGTATAAATATGCCAATTTTGAGCAGTTCAGAACATTGTTAAGAGAGACTGACTGGTCATGCCTCGATATTAATTATATAGATCAATCATGTAATCTACTAATTGATAGAATTGATGAACTTGCGAAGATCTGTATTCCAAACAAATCTATTATAGTTAAAAGTAAGGATTTACCGTGGATGTGTTTCAATATTAGAAAGACAATCACGAAACGTAAGAAATTGCATACAAAGGCTAAAATAAGTAACTGTCCAATAGATTGGTTAAAATTTAAACGGGTTCGTAACAAATGTGTGAACATAATTAGGCAGTCGAAACAAAGGTTTCTCAACAAACTATCTTCTCAACTAACAGATAATAATCGTAATAAAACATGGTGGAAAGTTGTTCATAATTTTATTAAAACAGACCCTAAAAAATACAAATTCCTCCTTTACTGCATGATGGGAAATGCTACGACGCTGACATTGATAAAGCTAACGTATTCAATACTTACTTTTCTAGTCAATCATCAGTGGATGATTCTGCTACGCTACTTCCGGAAGATAACTCCAGCATTACTCCCAACAGCCTCAGTGAAATTACTATAACAAGCAACGATGTAGAAGATGTAATGGTAAATCTTGATGCTTCTAAGGCCGTGGGACCCGACTTGATTAGTCCTAGAATACTTTAAGAGACGGCGTCAGCTTTGTGTGTTCCTCTTGCCTTCTTGTTTAATAAATCGCTTTCTTTGTCAAAAATGCCAACGCTATGGAAGGAGGCGAACGTAATTCCAGTCCATAAGAAAGAAAATCGTGACGATGTAAAAAATTATCGTCCAATATCTTTACTGAGTGTCATTGGAAAGGTCTTTGAACGCTGTGTTTTCAAATATTAATTTCTTTTGTAATAATAGTCTAATTACCAACTGTCAATAAGGCTTTACACCCGGAGATTCAACCATAAACCAACTCGTTAGCATAGCCGATGATGTCGGTAAAGCCTTAGATTCAGGCAAAGAAATTCGAGTTGTTTTCTGTGACGTAAGAAAAGCCTTCGACTGAGTATGGCATCGATGTCTCCTCTTCAAACTTTCCAAATTCGGCATATCTGGTAGTTTACTAAATTGGTTCAAAGATTATCTCAATAACAGGAAACAAATGGTGATTTTAAATAATTGTAAGTCGGACTGGGCATCTATCATAGCTGGGACCTCAGGGCTCGATCCTCGGTCCTCTTTTATTTCTTGTATATATTAATGACATTGTTTATGAAATCAATTCCACAATTAAGCTATTTGCCGATGATACGTCCCTTTACATAGAAGTAGACAATCCCGTTACGGCACATGCTACATTAGAATAAGATATTAATAAAATTCATGTGTTGTCCCGACAGTGGCTTGTAGACTTCAATCCCCAAAAAAACTGAAACTATGATAATAAGCAGGAAACGAAATCCCATTTACCACCCCCCTCTACATATGAACAACTTTCCAATAAATAATGTATCCTCTCACAAGCACCTTGGTGTGTACTACTCTGGAGATGGTCGTTGGCTAGATCAAGTTAATTATATCATTGTCAAAGCCTCCTTTAAAATCAATATAATGAGATCTTTGAAATTCCAATTAGATAGACAAACTTTGCAAACTACATATTTCTCTTTATAAGACCACTTCTCGAATATTGTGATATAGTATGGGGAAATATTCCAAAAGAACTGGAAAAAAAACTTGAAAAACTCAATGCTCGGATAGTAACTGGCGCGACAAAACGAACAATTATTGACAAATTGTTCAATGAAGCAAGAGGGACGAGATTATTTGATCGTAGACAAAATCGAAAAATTCTTCAATTTCATAAACTGTTTTACCAATATACGCCTCAATATTTGTATAATCTTGTTCCTCACACAGTTTCGGAGGGACATATATATGATACAAGGAACTCAGACCATACATGTGTCACCCCAGTATTGTGCAAAACTGCTTTGAAAAACAATCGTTTTTACCATCTACTATAGATCAATGGCATAAACTACCATCTGATGGTAGATCAAATCCGTCTGTTTCTGCTATAAAATCATACCTTGATAAACAGTTAAGTAGAAAAGTACCAATCCACTACACTTTTTGAACCCGTAAGGGTGAAATATACCATGCTCGTCTACGAATGGAATGGAGTTCCTTAAACATTTATTTAGTAAAAATATTGTTCAATCTCCGCTATGTGTATGCGGTCAAGTTGAAATCACTGCTCACTTTCTTTTAGAATGTACCAGATAAGTATGATGACATAAGAAGACAGAATTTATATTCTTTGCCTTATAATATTACCAGATATTCTACTGTTTGGGAACGAGACATTGCCATTACAAGAAAATAAGGTTATCTTCCTAGCTGTCCAAGATTATATATTAAAAACAAACAGGTTTTCCTATTGATTTAATATTTCATAAACATGTACGTATGTAAGAACAAGTAAAACCCATTAACAACCAAAACCCTTCACCATTAATTATCTCCTTTTCTTTCTCCTTGTTTAAACTATTGTCACTGATTGTATTATTGTATGTATTTTTCATTGGAGACAATATGCTGTCCATCCTGAATATATTTTGCAAATTATGATAAGGTGATAGATTTACATAAGTGTCTAAGACACTTGTTTCTATTTCCTATTTTGTGTTTTGTTACAAAATGTTATATATATATATATGTATATAATAGAAATACTTGAATAAAAGAAAGTTTAAACTAAATAAAATACACAGATACATAAAATATTCACGGTATTTACAATCCTTTGACGCAAGACTGAGGGATAGATCCCAACGTGTACGTGTTATATGTGAAAAAGTAAATAAAAATAAGCATATTTCTTTCTGATATCAATCAGCGCGTTTTATTAAGTCTAATTGTAATTGTAAATTTGAATAATATTTTGTAGTTGATTTTTCCAGTGTTCATCTATTTCATGCTCAAATTGTTTAACCGTCACTGCGTTCACTTCATTCGGTGGAATGTTGTTCCATATGTCAACAGTTTTCCGTGTGATTGAGTATTGTTTTAGATTTAACTCCGAATACTCTTGATGAATTTCTAAGCTATGTGTTTTAACGTTCTTTAATTGTAAATAAGGGTGCGACTTCTTTGCCATTTTTCCGGAAATAATTTTTTAAATATTAGCATGTGATCTTCAATATGCTAAATCAATTTGACAGTAGTGGTACTTGTTTCGTTGCTCGACGTTGAACATTTTCTATTGCTATTACATGCTTTTCTAAATTGGGAAACCAAACTTGGTTTTCATTATCTGTTTTAGGTCGACCTTATACAACAATTGTTCACCGCAAAACGCCATAACAGAATTTGCTTTATTAGTGTTTCGCATAATATTATAAGCTTATCAAATATTACTCTATCATCTATGGTGACTCCAAAATCTGTTTACTAGTCCACAAAATTGAAATGGTGGTACATGTAAACATTCCTCCAGGGAGAAGTTGAACCTATCTTTGTTTTGTGTATCCCACGTGCATCATTTTACATTTGTCCGGGTACATAATGGACAGACAAATGAAATTGAAAAAAAACCCACTTCAACAAAAACGAAAACTGCTCAAGCGATTTTATTTGATTATTTTCTTTTACAAAACATGCTAAAGTGTTACATATAACATGCATAGTTAGTATGTTTTTAACATTTATTATAATGAACAAATTAAGGAATTTAACTTTTTAATTTTTAAGATATTTCTGACTCTAACGTACACCAGGGCGCAAACGTAGAGAGTAATGCAATTTTTTCATTGGAGACAAACGAGGTTTTGCGTCATGCCCGTACATGTCAAGAAAAATGAATGTTTACAAGTTTGCCGGTTTAAAGCTAGGATACATATTACACAGTCGAAGGTTCGTTATCATAAAGAATTGGTAATATATTTCTTTTCGAAACATCTTGCATTTCATGTCAAATAACAAAACTACAACAGACAATCACGATTTTGTTGACTCAGAAATAAAAATAGTCTCGACTCGTATGTGTTACGGTCCACTGTTACAAATGTGATTGCTGTAATGTTCAACAGATCAGGTACATCCTGCTTAGTTCTGGAATGCAGACATGTAATTCCATATTTGCTTTAATTCTATTTCGGATATGAAGAGAAGAGAAGGCAGGCTGTGTGTACATTGTAGAGCAATGTAAACTCGCGAATCGTTTGCGAAAGCTGAGTTGATTCCTGTGCAAGTATAGCAGACGGCGATCAACAATTCCAGACGATTCGACATGTAACGTCCCACTCAAGTCGATATCAGGTGCATGATGTATGCTTTATCGAATGTGTTAATTATAAAGTTAGTTGATTTCTTTTCGTTATATGTAGTTTAACGCCTGTGTGCGTTTGCTGGCACACATCCTAATTCTGTTTATAGAGCAATATTGCGTAAATGCATCCAGTAAATAGTCTCAAGTTTTCTGATTGGTCAAGAAATGTTAGTTTGATTGACAGGTGTGAACCGTCTATTACACGTTTTCCTCAATCATGTTCATGTTGATACCAGTTAATAATTTCTCAGTCATTGAGAAATCCTCCATCATCTTGTATAGCAATGCATCGTCCATCTTAGTCTCGTGTGTTATCATGATAAAGAAATTATCAGTTTGTGGTCCTATTGAGAGTTTGATATGTTTTTCCATGTGTTCTCTGACCTTTGACCCGTCTCCTATGTTACCATGGAAATCTATGCAGATCGCTTCCCCTGTGTCACATTTAAATAACACACCAACAGACAGAAGGGGATCACTGGACTCATTTTCCGGATCCACAGAGGTGGCAATAACGTTGTGGAGGTCTGAATCGAAATGTTTTATGTTGTTTGGAAACAATCTGTAGGCTACCCAGTTGGACACAATCCGATCAGACGGAAACAGTACGGAGCATAACTTTGTGGACTGGAATATTTTGGATATGGCATCACTTTGCAATGGTTTGTTTTCTATAACTCCGTTTATGCGTGGCAAGATTGATGACGCCGTTCCGTGAAATACCAGAAAATCCTGAAATAATCAAAACAGAAAAACGTGAAAAAATATAGGAAGTGCGCATGTACAATCGAAAGCGACAGAACTGGCCTAATACTTGTACCTATAAAGAAGAACTTTAAAACAAGTTATCTAAATTCGGAGTTATCTCCCCTAGTGCACAAAAATGTAACAAGATATCCCAGAGGGATCTTGGCGCCCACCTTTGTACCATCTTCATTAGTTCNAACAGTAAATGCACCTTGAGGTAACTTTTGATCTAAACTTAATACTGATGTGTATGAAAGCCAACCTTCAAAGTGAGTTTGTCATTTCACATATTTACTAGTACAGTACTTAATGTGAAAGAAATATAATCGATCATTGCAATATGAGAAAGATCTGTTTAGTTCTTCTTTTAATCCATTTTGTTTTTATGATCAGTCTCAAAATATAACATGCACAACGAGGGATCAAGGGGAACCTACATATAAAATTTGAGAAAGATACCCCCGAACTTCCCGAGAAATAGAGGTAACAAACTTTCACTATCAAAATCCTAGATGGCTGCCTGTCGGCCATGTTGTTTATCCGATCAGTCTTTAAATTGCCCTGCACAGATAATGACCAAGGGGAACCTACATATAAAATTTAAGAAAGATCCCTCTAGTTCTTCCGGAGAAATAGCGATAACAAACTTTCACTATCAAAATCAAAGATGGCTGCCTGGCGGCCATGTTGTTTATCCGATCAGTCTCAAAAATTGCTCTGCACAGCTAAGGACTAAGGGGAGCCTACATATAAAAATTGAGAAAGATCCCTCTAGTTCTTCCGGAGAAAAAGAGATAACAAACTTTCACTATCAATATCCAAGATGGCTGCCTGTCGGCCATGTTGTTTATCCGATCAGTCTTAACAGTTGCCCTGCACAGCTAAGGACCAAGGGAAACCTACATATAAAATTTGAAAAAGATCCCTCTGGTACTTCTTGAGAAATAGCGATAACAAACTTTCACTATCAAAATCACAGATGACTGCCTGTCGGCCATGTTGTTTATCCGATCAGTCTGAAAAGTTGCCCTGCTCAGCTGAGTACCAAGGGGAACCTACGTATGAAATTTGAGAACAAACTTTCATTCTCAAATTCAAGATGTTTGTTTATTGGCAATCTTTGTTTTCCCTTCTGTCCAAAAATTTAATATGCGTTACAAGGGACCATGGGGAAGTTTCATGTCAAATTTGAGAAAGACTACTCCAGAACTTTCTGAAAAATAGTGCTAACAAACTTTAAAATTCAAATTCTAGAATGCTGCCTGTCGGCCATTTTGGTTTTGTGATCAGTCCCAAAAAACGATATGCGTAACTAGGGATCATGGGTAATCTTCATGTGAAATTTGAGAAAGATCACTACAGTACCCTTTTGAGAAATAGCGCTAACAAGAATTGTTTAAGGACAGACGGAATAACGGACGGACGGACCACGGACTTCGGACGCAGGGCGATTTGAATAGCCCACCATCTGATTCTGATGATGGTGGGCTAAACGAAAACATATCAAATGAAAGCATTTACAGTCATATTTTACTGGATTGATATTGGAACCGTACCCGTTTGCCGACAAAAACTGCGCCCTTCTTTATCAGACGGTCAGCTTCCGCATTCATGTGAATGGCAACTGCGCTTCGTTTTATTTCTGGATTGCTTGAAATGATTTGACGGATGTAGTCAGAGAGACTCCGATAGACTCCTTTCCCTTCGTAATCCTCGTGAACACGAGAGGCACGGGTTAATAACGTTTCTCCGTCATCCACTGTAGTTATAAATGAAAATCCGACCTAAAAGAATAATAAAACAAGTAGAAAATTCATGTGTGGAATATTTGAATTGAGGTCTTTGAACATGACTTATCAGGGGGTTGAAATTTTAGGTGACTACAGCATCTTTTAGGGTTGAACCTTAAATCTAGTACATGTATTAAGAATAAGTAGACTTTGCACGGCACTGCTAATATCGCGTTACATGTACCTCGCTAGGTGATTTTTTTCGTTGAATCTGAAGTGTTAGTAGCCTGATAGAAGGGCTGTGACGTATGTTATACTATTGAACATATCTGTAAGGGGTAGAATATCATGAAAAGGAACATGGGGGCGGGGCATGGGTAAGTGCATGAAACAAAGGCATAGATCACAGGTTCTATTATATCATTTTGCCAGGCACTGTACAACATTGTAACGCGTAATGTCCGACATTAAAAAACAGACACCTTTTCTATAAGTAATTTTACCCGGCACTGTAAACATTAATGTAAACTGCTGTTGATAAAGAGTCGAAGGTGCGTAAGACCCCTGAGTATATGAGTTGGAAAGAATCAAGGTGTACGGGTTAATTTTGAATTAAATAGTCTACGATGTGTGTATATTATGAACCGTGCCAATGCTAAAACGAGGTAACTGTGGCCATCAATGTTACGGTAGACATCCGGGACTAAAACATCAATCAGAAGAGACTACCATCTTGTAACTTGAAAATGACGTAACACACAGACAGTAACTGCACCTTTACAATATGTTACGGCGGAAGAACATGAATAATAATAATAATAATAACAATTACTAATTGTAATGGGGGACCATTTCAGAAGACCCCCAAACTACCCCTATTGTCTCAAAGAGGAAAAATAACACCTTCATACCAAATTTGAGCAAAATCGAGCAAGTTTAATTTCGACCAATCAGAGGCCATGGCGGCCATCTTGGATGTGCAATTATTAAAAAAAATGTCTCGCACATCTAAGCACACGCCCCAATACTCATGTTAAGTTTCAATGCTATCCTACCAATAGTTTCTGAGAAAACTCGCAGACAAAATTTCACGGCGGAAGAACAAGAATGATAATAATAATAAGAAACGGAATTAAACCAATACGTTCCCGACTTCGTTTGGGGACTTATTTACACTGAAGATAACGTAATCAGTTTTCTTCCTTTACCTTATACATGTACATGTATGACCTTGTTTGTTTTCTGCCAATCAAGATGAAGATATTGTAATTTTCTGCGTTTATGCCTCAAGTGGTTTAATACCTAAACATGTTTTTGTAGTCTACCTGATGAAGCGGGCTATCTTTTTTTTCTTTTACATATATTTAATATACCCCAAAGTTAATAAGTCGAATAAGGTAACACATACTTTGCATAAGAATGCATGCTGTGTTGCAATTTGTTTCCTTGTATATGCGTGAATGCACGCAATATATGCACATACAAATATAAGTACATGTAATATAATTACGTATGTGGTATACATCTGAGTTAGCGCATTTTTTCTAAACACTCGAAAACAGAGAGCTTGCTATAAAACAAAGCCAGTTTCTCGTGATCAAGTACGTATACCATCCATGCATCGTATAAGTCGCCATAATGTTTGGTATAATATGCTCATACGACAACCTCCATTAACAGACCACTTGTGTTTAAGGGGTCGATTTTAATGTTCCCCTATTTTTGTTGATTGAACCTACATCAGAGACCATATTAATTAATGGTCTAAATGGTCCCCGTTGTGGTTATTTCTTTGTTAATTTAACCTGAATTAGAGACCAACTTCGTTAATTGACCATTTTGAATGTTACCCATTGTGCTTGCTTTTATATTTTTTTATTATTAATTCAACCAGTATTAGAGATCATCTTTGTTAAAAGACCAATTAAAATATTCCCCAACGTGATTTTGTTGTTGTTTGAACCTGTTTCAGAGACATTTTATGTTAATAGACCATTTTAAAAGCTCAATTATATTGTTATGTTTTGTTATTTGAACCTGTATTCCGTCTTTGCGTATTGCAGAGTTATCTTCTCTTGGGAGCAGGTATTGATTGTTACGTCATTGGTTTGTGCGAGAAAATTACGTCGTTTTCTCAAAAATTGATGACGTTACTCTCACAAACAAGTGACGTAACAATCAATACCTGCTCCCAAGAGAAGATAACTCTGCAATACGCAAAGACGGAATAGAGTCCACACACGTTGAACCTGTAACAAGAGCCCACCTGCGTGAATAAAATAACCGTTTTGAACTTTCCATGTGTGGCTTCTTGATACAGGTTTGACTGTTGTGACAAAGCGGATCGTCTGGGAAAAACATTAATATTAACAGTTTGTATTACATTTCAGCTATTTCTGACTATTCTGCTGTGCAGACAGTGCGGAGGAAATGTCGGTAGTTAGAACTGCAAGTTAAATTAAAGAAACTAATTTCCTCATAATTTAGTTTCCTACCAATAGATAAACATCAAGAAAGAAAACCTTCCACGTGCCTATTCGTCAGTACAGTGAAGCCAGTCTACACTCACCATTTTGTCGCCGTCCATGGCAACATAGCCTTGATGGGTTTCCATCATGGAATGAAATCTTGATGCCAAATAGTCCCAACCGAAGTAAATACCCCGTCTGATCGCGATGACGTCATCATAATCACTGCTTGTTACTCGGCGGAAGTTGATATCCATGTTATTCACTGAATGTCAATAAAAATACGCCTATTACACGTAACGGTTAACGGGAAGAAAAGGTTAAGTGAATCGCTATTCATTACTCTGTGAACAATGTTGACTGTTATATATATAGCATATATTATTGTGAACCATCCAATTGTGTGATTAATTAATATTACATAAATACTATAGTTACATTTGTATGTTTTTGGTGTAAGGGAAGTAATTCCAATTGTAACATCATGCATGTTCTCCCTTGAAGGGAACTCTTTAGTTTGGAAGGGAATAAAAGTGAAGATCACGAAAAGGAACGGTTGTGTGTGTTAATATTCTGCCAAACGAGTCCCCATTACAGACAATTAACGCAACCCGTTACATGACATCAAAATACTTAAAACAGCCTTTCCTTTGTTTGTGCGCTTAATCTTTTTAACTGATTCACCAATAACATCCAAAGCTGTAACCTGGGTAAACCCTATTTTTATGTATACTGAAATTGAAACAGGTGTCACGACGCATAGCAACTATGACGTCAATAATAGAGAAATATTCCCGCTATATTGGCTCGTAGACATCAGAAACTAACACAACCTTTCATCTGCCGGACCAATAAAACCGTTCTCGAGACACAAAAAATCCCCAGAAGTAATAAATCTAGTCACAAATGTTTTGTCACGAAAACACTAACATTTCAGTAATATATAGCGTCATCAAGACACTAAGATGTCAGTAATGTATCATGTCACAAAGACACTTAGATGTCAGTAATGTATCACGTCACAAAAACACTAAGATGTTAGTAACATATAGCGTCACAAAGACACTAAGATGTCAGTAATGTATCATGTCACAAAGACACTAAGATGTTAGTAATATATAGCGTCATCAAGACACTAAGATGTCAGTGATGTATAACGTCACAAATACACAAAGATGTCAGTAATGTATCACGTCACGAAGACACTAAGATATCAGTAATGTATAACGTCACAAAGACACAAAGATGTCAGTAATGTATCACGTCACGAAGACACTAAGATGTCAGTAATGTATAACGTCATAAACACACTAAGATGTCAGTAATGTATAACGTCACAAAGACACAAAGATGTCAGTAATCATTCACGTCACAAAGACACTAAGATGTCAGTAATGTATAACGTCATAAACACACTAAGATGTCAGTAATGTATCACGTCACAAAGACACTAAGATGTTAGTAATTAATATCGTCACAAAGACACTAAGATGTCAGTAATGTATAACGTCACAAAGACACAAAGATGTCAGTAATGTATCATGTCACAAAGACGTCAGTAATGAAACACGTCACCAAGACACTTAGATGTCAGTAATGTATCACGTCACAAAGACACTAAGATGTTAGTAATTAATAACGTCACAAAGACACTAAGATGTCAGTAATGTATCATGTCACAAAGACACTAAGATGTAGGTCATGTATCACGTCACAAAGACACTAAGATGTCAGTAATGAAACACGTCACCAAGACACTTAGATGTCAGTAATGTATCACGTCACAAAGACACTCAGTATAACGTCACAAAGACTCAAAGATGTCAGTAATGTATCACGTCACAAAGACACTTAGATGTCAGTAATGTATCACGTCATAAAGACACTAAGATGTCAGTAAAGTATCACGTCATGAACACAGTTACATATCAGTAATGTATAACATCACAAAGACACTTAGATGTCAGTAATGTATCATGTCACAAATACACTAAGATGTCAGTAATGTATAACGTCCCAGAGACACAAAGATGTCGGTAATGTATCACGTCAAAAAGACACTTAGATGTCAGTCATGTATCACGTTACAAAGACACTAAGATGTCAGTAATTGGCTACGTCACAAAGACACTAAGATGTCAGTAATGTATCACGTCACAAAGACACTTAGATATTTGTTATTGGTTACGTCGCAAAGACACTAGGATGTCAGTAATTGGTAACGTCACAAAGACACTAGGATGTCAGTAATTGGTTAGGTCACAAAGACACTAAGATGTCAGTAATGTATCTCGTCATAAACACACTTAGATATCAATAATGTATCACGTCACAAAGACACTAAGATGTTAGTAATGTTTCAGGTCACAAAGACACTGATAGGTCAGTAATATATCACGTCACAAAGACAGTAATATGTCAGTAATGTATAACGCCACGAAGACACTAAGATGTCAGCAATGTTTCACGTCACAAAGACACTAAGATGTCAATAATTGGTT